TGCTTAGAATGCGGGAGCTTCCAGGGTTTTGGCCCTCGACCCACCGGGGGCCCTTGGCAGCCCCCTGGCCCCAGCCAATGGTGCTCGCAAGTGCCCTTTCAGTATCAAAAAGAACCCCCCTACCAAAATCCTGGCTACGGGCTTGCTTAAAGTAACTATTACGATCAACATAAACTGTCAAACTACATAGGCGAGAAAACTTTAAAAAATAGTTTATCTATAATTAAAATTACCTCTGCAACATCGTTACTCCTCAAAACTTGTGAACACTTACAACACATAATTACTTCGTCAGTGCTCGGTTTACCCATTTCCGCCATTTTTACAACACTTATGCACGGTATCTAACCTACAGCAAACAAGGAATACAGTCTAATAGCCAACACATGACCTGGAATATGAACTTCTAAAGTTTCATTTTTGTTCGATTTTTGTTCAACGGGGCGGGAACCGTTTTGCTTGATCAATTAAACATAAATATGTGATATAATCTGAGAAAACTGCTGAAGTTAACCGAGATATAATACAATTTAAGCAACTGTATCCGGTAGCCTTTGGCGGTATTAAATGTGAGAATGTGTACATTAGTCGCCATTCAAGTTCATATCAAATATCTCTATTGTATGGTATTTTTTAATAATAGCATACTTTACAGATGCATGATTATTAACTTAAGTTAGAAATTTGGACTATTCTCTTTGTAGCTAAAAAACTGAGTTATTTCCTCAATCAATGATTGCAGTTCCCACAATTTGCCTACTGTTATATCTACTTCTTTTTGTATTAGTTTTCCAATTGTATTTCTAGAATTAAAGAGTATTTTTAGATGAATTTTCTTTAATATACTAAGTCAACACTATAATTTCTTACCACAACAGTTTCGACCAACCTCGTTGATCTTTCTCAGGTAAATGACCTACCTCAGCCAGACCATTGCGTCATCTGCTGATGTTTGGATTGGATTTATTTGGTGTAAACACCAAGAATAGAAAGAAAGTCTAGAAGAAGACTTATTACCACCTTCTGGTGGTGATTGGACAGTGACACCGGGAGACAATCCCCTACTCTTTTCTTTAACGTGCACATGGGCCATAAATGCACACGGGACCAACGGCTTAAACGTCTCATCCGAAAGACGATGCGCTAAATATTGTAACTTGTATTTCAGCCCTCTAGCTGAGACACAAGGAGAGGCAGCGATGGGAATTGAACCGGGGACCTAGAGATCTCCACGGTTCAGCGCACACACAGTGGCTACCACCAAATTAGCCGACTGAGTTAAGCTGCTCTCTCGATGTTATTCGATGACGTGCGCCCTTTATTGGTTTATGAGGTATTCTCCAGGGGCCGGGTGCGATTTTTCCCGTACGAAACATTTACATGAAACTCCACTCGGGCCGTCTCGACTGAATCGACCCGAAAATTTCATATTGCAGAATTCAGGTCAAAAGGTCATCAACAACTTCTGATCTGAGAGAACGTCGCTGTCTAATTGTTGAAAATACATTGATGTTACCATGCTAATACTAATGAGTCGTTTAAAATGACATAATATTTGATTGAGCTGCACGAGTAAAAAAGTGTTATTTTAACTTGAGTTACATACTGTGGCAATTTTTATTTTTTAGTGAGTTTGGGTTTTGCATAATTACCTGGCCTAACTACAAAAAAATCTTTCTGTGGGAAGCACATAGAGTAAGGAAAAGTGCGTTTCTCTGGGCGTTTAATCAAATGAAACAGGGCGACAGTTATTTTCAAATTAAGAGAAGAGCTAAGAAGAGGCAGCTCTAAAATACTGGATGCCATAAGACCTGCCAAAATGGCAGAGCACCAATGAATGTATAAATGAGGCCTAAGCCTAGTTATTAATATCAGGCATAGTAATCTGCAGATTCTTCATTACAAGACTAGACCAGGTTAATTACATGTAATGCCGAAATGATTATTATTTATTATTATTATTATTATTATTATTATTATTATTATTATTATTATTATTATTATTATTATTATTATGTTACTAAAACCAACCTGTAGGCCTACCTAAGGGGAACTTAGACAATCGAGGAATTAAAGAACAATTAAAAAATCGACGTTAAGGGGAAATAACTGAAAAGATATTCCCCCTGGGCTAGTTATTAATTATAGGCCTAGTAAATAGTATAAAAGGCTTAGGTCAAGGTAATTAATGCTGAAATTATTATTATTATTATTGTTGTTGTTGTTATTATTATTATTAATTATTATTATGTTACTAAAACCAGCCTGTAGGCCTACCTTAAGGGGAACTTAGAAAATGGAAGAATTAGAGAACAATTAAAAAAACCACGTTAAGAGAAATAACACAAAAGATATTCGCCCTGGGCTAGTTATTATTTATAGGCCTAGTAAATAGTATGGTTCTTCATTACAAGGCTTAGGTCAAGGTAATTAATGCTGAAATTATTATTATTATTATTATTATTATTATTTATTATTATTATTATTTAACATTAATTACATTACAAGAATAGTTTGGTCAAGTTCAATAACGCCGTCGAATGGTATATTTTATTTATTTAATAATATTTCTCTTATGTACTCTTTTTTTTATTTCATGCTTTAATTTTTTTCCCCATTTTTTTTTCAAAATTTCAATCAACGTCTGTATGTAAAGCGTGGCTGTTGGTGTCAGCCTAGGACCCTAGGCCTATACTAGGTAGGACTTAACTTAGCCTGTAGTTAGGCCCATAGTTTATCCTCTTTCTCTCTAGCCTCTGGTAGTACTTATCAACACTTTATAAAAGGGGGTACTAGCTGTGGTTGTTGTAGATATTATACTAACATTTAATAAACATCCAAGAAGGTCACAGTTAGTTACACACGTACATCCCATAAATCCGTAAGATATCATAGGCCTACCGTAGGTAAACATAGAAAGAGCAATGATAGTAAAATTCGAGCGTCACGACATTGCGAAGTGTCTTCTCTTGTTCCTCGTATCGAACTTAGTCGAGTCAATCCGAGATAGCCCGATTGAAGTTTCATGCAAATGTTTCGTACGGAAAAAAAATCGCTCCCCGCGATGTCCCCGCGATGATGTAAGAGGTCATCGTTAATATGTGAGCTTTTCCTTCTGATCCATTATTGCCTCTTTTATAGTGGGATCATTCTTTTTGTAGTAGGTCTATATTGGTGGTATTCCAGCTTGGTATGTGATTATTATCTCATGTGGTCTGTTTTTGCCGATTTATGGATAACAGATGATGTTTAGGTGCGAGCTGACCAGTGGCGTATCTAGGGGAGGGCGCTTTATTTGCACCCCCCCCCCACAAAAAAAAATCACTGACAAGTACCGGTAGTTAAAATCACCTAAAATCACAATATTTTTCGAATTACAGTAGCTCCCCTCCACTGATTTTGAGCTCCCAACTTCACATTCGCGCCTCCCCCGCCCCCATCAGCACCCCATTTCATAGTACGCCACTGGAGTTGACCTTGTGCGCTCCCCTCCTGTATTATTAGTAATGTCTGCTTTGTGTTCTGCCAGTCTGGTATGTAGAGGTCTTCTTCCAATCTCTCCCACATATACACTCATTTCCTCCTCCTTGATTTTATCTTTCGGATGAGCCAGCCTTTCTCTGATTTTATTACATGGCTTATAATATGCTTTAATGCAATGTGAAGATACACAAACCGAATTGTCCTATGAGGCCCATCTTAGATTACACAGGATCCATATGCTACAACTTATCCCGTAGTTTAGCCGACCTACTAGTCTCCTGGTTGGAAACACAGAAGAACACCACTTAGAAAACTCCAAACAATTTGTAGAGAAAAACAAGGACACTCAGCTGTTACCAAATGAAACACTGATGGTGGATGACGAGTTAAAAAGACAACAAAGTTAGTAGACGACATCATAGGCCTATTGGAATTCATTCTAACTACCACCTAATTTTCTTTCAATGACACCATCAGACAGAAGTTTGGTATGAAAATGAGCAGTCATGTCAGGCCCGTAGCCAGACTTGACTGCTCACTGCTCTTGACTGCCGGGTGGGTCTTTTTTTAGCCAAAGGTGACTTTTTATACGGGTGCCCCACCGACCCAATGTGTACCGTAGGCACACGCTCTATGACATGTGCTGCTGGCAGGGGCGGATCCAGAAATGTCCAAAAGGGGGGGCCGGAAGCGGGGGCCGAAAGTTGGGCCGATTGAGACAACACTGTCGTAGGGGGTCTGGGGCATTCCCCCGCGAAATTTTTGTGTTCTAGACGCCCGAACATAACATTTGAGGCATTCTGGGCTATCATTTTTTTCTTTTTCTCTCTTTTTTTTCTTTTTTCCCTTTTTTTTACCTCCCAACCTACTAGTCTCCTGGTTGGAAACACAGAAGAACACCACTTAGAAAACTCCAAACAATTTGTAGAGAAAAACAAGGACACTCAGCTGTTACCAAATGAAACACTGATGGTGGATGACGAGTTAAAAAGAGAACAAAGTTAGTAGACGACATCATAGGCCTATTGGAATTCATTCTAACTACCACCTAATTTTCTTTCAATGACACCATCAGACAGAAGTTTGGTATGAAAATGAGCAGTCATGTCAGGCCCGTAGCCAGACTTGACTGCTCACTGCTCTTGACTGCGGGTGGGTCTTTTTTTAACCAAAGGTGACTTTTCATACGGGTGCCCCACCGACCCAATGTGTACCGTAGGCACACGCTCTATGACATGTGCTGCTGGGGGCGGGTGGTGGGGGTTCGGGGGAATTCTCACCCAGAATTTTTAGCATATAAAAGTTAAGGCTGACACCCTTGCATATATGCTGAATATAATTATCATGATTCAAAGGTGTATACACAGGACGAGGTGATATTTTGACAATGATTCGCTCTAGAATCAATATAGGCAAGAACATTCGACTGAACTAAAAGTTAATATCAGTGTCATTTTGGCCTGAGATTGATCCACAGGCCACAGGCTATAGGTCTAGCAACTCTATGAGAAAAATATTTGGCCTGGAAAAGGGTGACCCCAGCCGAGGGGGTGGGGATCGTCTGACCCCCTCCGACCCCTTCTGGCTACGGGCCTGCATGTGTCACCGTTTGTTGCCAACATATACATGGAATGGTGGATGAGAAAGCAGCTCGAGTGCTACAACTAACATCAAGCCCCGGAAACGATATGTCGATGACATCTTGGCGATCTTCCCAAGGGGCATAGTCAATGATCTGGACCAGCACATCAATAACATAGACCCTTCATGTAATTCACCCAAGAACTCATGAAAGATAACACGGTACCGTTCCTAGACACACTCACCACAGTACATGAACAAGGTAACAACACAACGTCGGTGTACAGAAAAATCACACACACTAACCAGTACCTGAAACTTCAATTCCCATCACCCACTACAACACAAATTAATTGCGGTTAGGACTTCGATGGATAGGTGTGAATGCATTGTAACTACAAATGAAGAAAAATATGAAAGAAATGCAGAATATTAACAAATCACTCAGGGCGTGTAGGCCTACCTTTGGTCCGAAGGGTCTTGGTCCGACGGCCCATTGGTCCGAACGGGTTTTGGTCCGAAGGCCCGTTAGTCCGAATGGTCTTTAGTTCAAAGTTCCTAATTTTAGTTGAGTGAGTACCTTTGGTCCGAAGGCCCGTTGGTCCGAATTTTCCGAATTTTAGTGACCTGGTTTTCCAAGAATAATTGTTATGATACTTATTGAAACTATTTGCGTTCTTGACCACAGAATGCGTTTCTGATCTGCTTCCTTGAATGATTCTTTATTTTTATATTTATATTATTTGCTTTTTACATTATGTGATCTATGCTTTTGTTGTTAGCTTTAAAGAATACTTATATTTTATTTATATATACATACAGTGTATATATATAAATATATTTTAAAGAATTCATACATATAAACAATGTATATATTTATACACATATTTAAGCACAGTGATTACTAAAATCTACAATGATTACTAACCAACATGCATGTTGTCAGAAGAAATGAATGAATTAAAGGCGTATAAAAGAAGTGTACAGTAGCAAATTAAGTCCTATTGTAAAGCTAGATAAAATAGATAAATTGTTCACCCTGTTGCCCACCCACTTTAACAATGGTATATTCCAATTGGGTGGTTTATGTCCTGGGTGGTTTATGTCCTACATTCTATTTATTACTGTATCTGCTTTGTATTTGCATACTTAAGTGTTTTTGACTATTATTTTAATTTTAATTTCTGTTTTATTTGTATTGATTCTGTAGTTATGTTTTAGCCCAGTGACAAATCTAGTTAACTTCTTATGAATAATGTTTTTAAAGATGGTATTTTGAGATTTTTCCTATGAATAAAAAATAAATAAATGGCTGTAGTACCGCTTTTTGTGTTTCAATGTATTTTTTGTTTTTGTATCACTGTTTGTTATCTTCTTTGCTGGGATCTGCGGAGGACCAGGAATTTTATCCCTGAGCAGCCCCAAGGATAACAATAAGGTAAATAAATAAAAAAAATTTAAATGAAATATTGTTTTTGTGCTTTTTAATGTAAATTTTGTTGGTTTTGACGCACCGTAACATTGGGAGTGTAAGCTCAATAATTTATTATTATAATCGAGAGACTTATTCTAAAGTATTCAATGCACTCTACGTGAAGTCTAATTTTAAATAATCATTCAATCAATTAAATTATTCCTGATGATGACATAATTAATGTCGAAATATTGAATCCCAACACGATGGCGTGTATTGCAATACTTGGAGTATGTATTATACTTTCTTATCTGAGGTCTAATTAACTTACTGAAAGAAATAGGGGGGAAAAATTGCAATTCTAGGCCTCTGTAGGTTTTATTCCATCTAATGAGTATCTTCCGAATTCATCCTCACAGAGCACAATAACAATTAATTGAAAGATATGTAATGGATATAAATGGTAGATAAATAAGAGCACAGCACATTATTTTAAAAAAAATAACAAAGGTTAAAATTAGTGACATAAATACGTTTATTACTACACGAATATCTCGGTCGTTCCTACAACAAACCTCCTTTAAACACTTTATTAGCATAAACAATAAGGGCGTAGGCCTAAACTTTATAAAATAACAAATGGTTTATATAGCTGTACAGAGCTGATGCATGCTAATTAGCAGAGGTTACTTATACAATATACTGTACATGAATTGGGTTGAGTAAAATAATAATGCTGTAATAATAAAATAATAATAATAATTAAGTTGTGAGTAAATATCTAATGAAATATTACAAATTATATATATACATATATATATATATATATATATATACTTATATATATATATATATGTATATGACGCTCGCCTATATATGATATATATGACGCTCGCCTTGTCAGCGAGAGGTCGCAGGTTCGAATCCCGTCGGAGGCATTTTATTACACAATGACTTTTATAGGACTTTATTCGTTGAAAAGCTACAGGGTACCCTACGATGTTCCATCATGTCCTTATTTAAACACTGTATATGTACCTTTAATGATTTATATTATATTTATTCAACTTAATTCTCTCACTCCAAATTTTAATTTTCTCTCTCTGCCAGGGAAAATAAGTGAGTCTTAGTAGGAACAAACAATCAGTCGCTGTTTCTACCTGTCTCTTATACACATCTAGATGTGTATAAGAGACAGGTTTTTATATAGCGCGAATTACAATTAAGTCTCAAAGTGCTTTAGCTCTTCTTAAATAAATGTGACTTTTGAGACGCGATTTGAGTTTGAATTCATTTATGTTAGAAAAGGACACTTTTATTTGTAATAAAACAAAGAAATTTTTAAAACGCTTGTGTGACAAATACATGTATAGTAGGCCTATGCTAAAAACAAATATTTAAAAACGTATGTTGCGTCGCACTTTTTTATAATCCTCGGACTTTGTAGTAACTTTCGCACTTTGGTAATAAAGTGTGTCGCACTTTGTAATGAAGTCAGTCACATTTTGTAATAACTGAGTTGTCGCACTTTGTTATAAATTTCTGTCACACTTTGTAATATAATGAGCTGTCGCACTTTGTGATAAACTCTATCGCACTTCGTAATAAAACGCGATCCATGTTATATTTTATAGGTTTTTTATAACTTCTCTTCAGGGGATCGAATTTGATGTTTGCCTGTTTCGCATTATATCAATTTTACGTCGATGTGATGGATCCAGTCTTACTACTGTATTGCCCTGACTATGTAGGATTGGAGGATATCGGGTCCAAATCAAGAAGACGTCCAATTTGATATTTCTCGTATTTCGGATTATATAATTTTACAGTATGTCCTACGATGGGGATATGGTACTAATAATTTACTGGGCCCAGACTGCAAGACCATCAACATGGTATGTCGGAAGGATCGGGTTCAAATACTGAAAGAGTCTAATTTACTTTCCCATTCTGTAGATGGATAGAGGGATATTCCAAATGGACCCCATCGGTTAGAGCCTGTCTCTTATACACATCTAGATGTGTATAAGAGACAGGTAGTAGATCCAATAGGAGGTGGGTTATGTGTGGATTTAACATTGGAATGAACAAGAGTCTCCTTAAAATTTTTATCTCGGCGGTAGGCGTGCATAGGTGGTGATGTGAACACATTACTTGTGGCTTGGTCTGATGATAAAATTTCAAAGTTCCTGGTTATTACTTCAGCAACTTGTTTTGCTATTGGGTGATAGGTGAGGACTAGCGGTATTCTATCGGTAGATGTAGCGCTTTCCCGGGGTTGGAGTGCAATTTCCCGTGTCATCTTGTTAATTTTGTTGAGGCAGCCGTCGGTGATGTTGGTGGGATATCCTCTATTGGAAAAGAAGGACATCATTTCTTTGGCGCGTGTTTTAAAGTCGTCGTCTTGTTTACAGATTCTTCTGAGTCGAACTAATTGTGAGTAAGGGATAGAGTCTTTGCATTTGGGTGGGTGTGATGACTCATAATTCAAATAGGTGTGTGCATCTGTAGGTTTATAGTAGACGGAAGTTGATAATGTAGAGCCCTTGATGCTAACATCGATATCCAAAAATGTGACATTGGTGTATGAGATCTCGTGGGTGAACTTGATAGCTGGGTGAAAGGAATTCATGTAATTAATGAAATTGGTTAGCTCGTCATATGAGCAAGATGCAGCTCCCACACAATCGTCGATGTAGCGTTTGAAAAGCAAAGGTTTGGTACCGTCGTATTCATTGAATATTTGTTGCTCCAGATAACCCATAAACAAACATGCAAAACTGGTTCCCATGCGAGTACCCATACTGACTCCAGTAAGTTGTCGGTAGTATGATCCATTAAAGGTGAACGAAGCGGTGGTCAAAACTAATTCAGCAAGGCGGATAAGAGTAGATGTGGCATGTGATGTAGGATTATCTGACTCCAAAAAGTACTTAAGAGCAGTAAGGCCATCCGATATGGGTATGCTGGTATATAAAGATGTAACATTCATAGTAAATATAAGACGATGGTCGCCAGAAAATTGAAATTGATCAAATAGCACGAGTGCTTCCTTGCTGTCTTTAATGTACGTAGGCAGTCGCTGAACCATAGGGCTAAGAACATTATCCAAGAACTCGCTGATGATAACAGTGGGGCAATTACAGCAGGACACAATAGGTCGACCAGGAGTATCGGTCTTATGTATTTTCGGTAGCATGTAGAAGCGTGCGCAAGTGGGGTTAGAATTGATCAGGCACTTGGCATTAGGAGGCAGCTCACCTTCTTTTATCAAGTTGTTAATGGTGGTACTGACACGAAGTTGATCTTCGGCTGTAGTATCTGTGGGTGTCTGTTCATAAGTGGTAGCGTCCGATAACTGTCGTAGTCCTTCAGCGATGTAGAGGTCTTTTTGCCATACGACTGTAGCACCTCCCTTGTCAGCAGGTTTAATATTCAGATTGTGGTTGTTTTTCAGAGAGCGCAATGCATTTAGTTCTCCACGGCTGAGGTTCTTGCTTCTGACATGGCGTTTCAGGTTTAAGTTATTGATGTCATGACGGCATTTGTTGATGTACAGATCCAAAGCAGCGAATTTTCCTAGAGGTGGAGTCCAATTGGAGTTATTGGAAACTAGGCAAGTGAATTCATCCGTTTTATTAGTTAGAGTGTCCTGGTTATGAAAGTGTGCTTTAAGTCGCAGTTTACGGTAGTACTGTTCCAGATCATACTTAACTTGAAATTCATCAATAGTTTCGCGTTTAGGAACAAATGACAGACCTTTAGAGAGCACAGACCTTTCTTCAGCAATTAGTTCAAGATCCGATGGAATGGTCACAACTAGCTTAGATGTATCAGGTGAGCTGTTAGTAGCGGTAGACGACTTCCTTGCACGTTTCAGCTTATCGAGTTTATTTTTCTTAGCAGTGGTAAGACAGTCATAATATTTTCTGTTCAGCATATGGACAACACGATTCAGTGGTACTACAGGAAGCTTTAAGTAAATTGCGAAATTGTTCCATCTTGGCACTATTAATTTGGCAAGAGGCTTGAAAAGAGCGTAAACTGGATCGCATAATTCTTCTTGAGCAGTCTATAATAGGTTTGGACACAATATCAGAGTGAACATTGGCAATAGACGGCCTCCAATTTGATCGAAATCCTTTTTGAATGATGTTAGATTTAAGGCACGTAGAAATGAAGTTAACATGATTACAGAATCTGGTCTTATTAAACGTGGCTACTCCAAACTGGAAAGCGAAATGTTCTAAAGTTGCAGGATACATTTTGAAGTCTTCACATAGATGTTGACGAAGCTGAAGTAGAAGTTTAGGGTCTTCCATAGAGTACC